CATACATACATACATACATACATACATACATACATACATACATGCATGCATACCTACATACATACCTACATACATACATACATACATACGTACGTACATACATACGTACATACATACATACGTACATACATACATACATACGTACATACATACGTACATACATACATACATACATACATACATACATACATACATACATACATATGCATATACATATACATACATACATATATATATATATATATATATATATATATATATATATATATATATATATATATATTATAAGGAAGTTTTATTGAATGTGAAAAGGAAATTACAACATGCCAGGATAAGGAATGCGCAAAACGAACAAGCTGAGAGTCTAAAAAACATCAAAAATTTTCCTTCCATTTCTCCAAAACATGTCAATCCCCCAACTTTTGAAGTCTTCATCCTTGACGAGCCATTTCTTGTTTCTATTAACCCAACACCATCCCTACACCAGTTTTAAGCATTGTTGGATTAGTGAAGCTGTGGTGGCTGATTTCCCTTCATGGATGGATGTGTTACGAGCTTTCCAAAGGACCCAAGAGATGATTCCGGGGAGGATGAGCCTGAGGTTTCCTTTGAAGCTTCGGCTGTTCCCACTTAGCCACCAGGCGATCAAGTGTTGACGTAGTTGGTTGCCGATGCGTCGTGGTGGAGCTGAGGAAATGTGTCCAAAATATTCCCAAACTTTGGCACTGCATGGACAATGAAGTAGTACGTAGTCTAGGGAGTCCTCTCCAGCCTGGCATAAGTTGCATCTGCTTGTGAGAGCAAGGTTGAAGCGGCTTAGGTTGGTAGGGAAAGGGAGAGATTTGTTAAGACACTTCCAAAGGAAAATCTTGATTTTGGGGATTTGTGTCTTGTGCCAGATGAACTTGCTGGTGATAGAGGATGGTAAACCTTCCTCTCCAATTTTATAGGCACTGCCAAGACTGAAAGAACCTCCTGACCAGGTCGTGCCTCCTCCCGAGATGTTGCTATGAGCTGACCCTATGGCGTGAACCCTGCAAATCCTCTTCCATGATGGTGAATCAGTTATTTTCTCTTTTATGGATCCAGACCTCATATATTTTGCTCTGACAAAGGGACCCCATATACTCTGATCGTTTTGTGCTTTCCACCATAGCTTCAATGAATATGCTTGTTGTACTTTCTCAAGGTTTCGAATGCCAAGATCTCCAGCCTGCTTAGGGTGGCAGATTTGGTTCCAGTTTTTCCAGTTATATATATATATATATATATATATATATATATATATATATATATATATATATATATATATATATATATATATATATATATATATATATATATATATAA